ATATCACTCAAAATGATGTGATATTCTATATATTACACTGACACAAGAGCTAAATACTTGCATGATATTAGCGCCACTATTGACCCATGAAATGAGAACGAAGCAAATGAAAAGTTGAAACGGCGGTTACATCAGCCATTTGTGACAACGGAATCTGTTGTTGTCGTTGTCAGAGTGTTCCAGTTCACGAAGTGGGCAATTTTGTCAATGAGGCCCTGGGTCACGTTACTTGTTAAACGTGCCTAGAATATAATTTATTAAAGCATGACCGCTGCATTATCAGGGCCAACCTACATTTATAAAAGATGAGTGGGCTATGTATGAATACAGTAATCTATATCGTGTTGTTGTGTTGTAAATGAAATGTAAAGTTTCATCAATATTCGATTTGTATGTCATAATACAGTCTTCTTCAGAAATGTTGGAGAATTCTTTTTTAAACTTTGTGGTTTGATTTTTGTTTAAAAGTAGATTGGGCTTATTCTCACGGTTATTACATCTCATAACAAAATGCAGTTCATCTTTAACATAATCATCCGAACTCTTTGCACATTTCCGATCATTTAATCTTTTATCCTAGGATTCATCTACGACGTATTATCACGAGTCACAGATATGTGATTAGTTTTTTCAACAATGAGATATCTTTTAAGGTGTACTATACCAGTATATCATGTCCAAACTTTAGCTTATAGCTTCTCATTTTACTACTTTCATTTGTTGTGCTCCTTTAAAAGCTTATTCTGAACTTCCATCGATTATTGAATTTATTGATAAGAGTTTGTTATACAGAATTCAAGAACACATTTTCGAGGGTGAATATTAAAGGATTTTAGCACTTGACTCAATGTATCCTCAGTGGATGATTAATCCCATTAATGTGTTGTTTCCAGACCTTTCCAGCATGAACGCATCAAAGCTAGAATAGTAGTGTTTGCTTTTAAGGGCTTATAGTCCAGCCATTATTTAATCGCAAATAACTCTAAAACATTTAAGATAGAAAATTGTAATGTTCAAATACAGGGTGTCCCAGAAGTAATGATAATTGTGCTCTAAAATTTTTATTTGATATGGAAACAATATGAAATTCACACAAATTAAAGATCAAGATGTTAGCTTCATTTTACTATATTACATTTATTACTTTACACAAATATATTCAATGTATAGTTGCCATAGCAACATGTGCGCGCGTTCTGCGGAGCAGCTGTGTGTTTTTCATACATTTTTGAAAAACATTTCATGTTCATATGTTTCCCTGCTGTTCACATCACTACTGTAATGCTGCTACTTCATTCCTGATATTCCTTAAGAGTATTGTACATTGTTGATTCACTTATCCACATACTGTCCTTTGCTGGAGACAATTTGTCTGTGCCTTTCCAGCCAGGATTGGAAGACATGATCAAAACCACTGTTGGACATATCCTGCAGAGCCAACTGAACCGAGCGGCGCAATTGTGCCTCGCTCTCGTGTTTATGCCACCTATACACAGTGGGGTTGGACAGTCTTCTCTCACCATATGCTTGTTTAAACTCCTTTATAGTGTCACTGGGTTTACCCCCTGTCTTCTGAAGGAATTTTATGACTGCTCTCTGCTCTAATTTTCCATCTTTGCTCAACGTAATGTACACCTACCTGGAAATTCCTAGGTTGTGTTCCTAAGAGTTTTCCTTTTGTGAAACCCTATATGACATCATCATGTGATGTCATAATATCAGATTAAAGTGATAATCCTGTCACAATGAGATAAATTACATAATATTAAACCACTATGACATCATGCAACTGTATACAATTACCATAACAATGATTAAAAAGCTTGAAACATTATCACAGAATAACTGCTTTTCTAAACTAAGTTTGAACATTTATAATATACGGAAACTGCTCCGCAGAACGCGCATACATGTTGCTATGGCAACTATACATGTAATATTTTTGTATAAATTCATAAATGTAATATGGCAAAATGAAGCTTATATCTTAATCTTTAATTTGTATGAATTTCATATTGTTTCCTTGTCAAATAAAAATTTAAGAGCATAATTATCATTACTTCTGGGACACCCTGTAGTTCATTCAACTTGTTTAATTCAAAATAGTTTATTCAACTTGTCATACTGCTTACATGTTGGAGATATTTTCAAGCTTAGATATTTTCAGAAAATAATGTTATGAAGTCTATTGATTGTGTTTGTCACTTATCATTATGAATTACATATATTTGAGAGTTATTTAGAAATAAGAACTACAGCTGTTAAGTCTAGATTTGCCTTTTAGTATACATGTTATAATGGAATTAAAGAACATCATTTTATTTTATATAAATGCTCATTGTATTCTCTTAAAAGACAAAATTGTGATAAAGGTACAATGACAATAAAGATACAACATAAATTGTATATAAAAATGCATTTAGATTATTAAAGAAATTGAAACAGAAAATGTATTGTTTAATAAATGAACAATAAAATATGGCTCGATCAAAAAGACTGAAATATCCAGTCTTAATCCTCTTAAAGATTGTTTATCACAGCCATGCCTTTAAAATATGCCTGATTACTGGTATAAACAGTAGTTCTAAATATCCAATCAGTCAAATCAGGAGTGTAGAACACTGTCCATCAATCAGTGATCAGATACTTTCAGTCACTTATTCACTAAATGTTCCCTTGTAAGGTTTGTATTCAGCCCCTGGAATAACATAACATTCAATGATTAACCAGAACATTACCATCCAGGGGGTCATTAACAGAAACTTTGTATAGTTACGAATTAGTAAATCAATAGTTGTAACCATGGATATAATGACGTCACAGTTAGAGAACAATGGATTTTATGAATTCTTAACTTTAAGAAATTTCTGTTAATGCCCCCCTGGTACACAGGTCAACTGAGAAGCTAGTAGATAAAAATACAATTTTTAAATCAGATTAGCGAGAACCAAGCCTAGTTGAGAAAATGTATTTTTTGTATTTGAGGAAATTGGATGATTTACCATTCTGTCATTAGTGGTGAAAAGTCAAGACAATATATTGCAATTTATATGGCCCAAATATTTGTGTTTGTGTAAAATTACCATCCTAGAGGTTTGGGTTATTGTACTCATTCTTTATTTTGTGCTTAGTGCATTTCAATTTAAAAGTCCATGCTTTCCAAAAATTCTATTTAAATTAAATGAAAAGCAATATCTCGCTGGTCTATTTGCTAGATTGAGATTTACCTGTTTCCCCTTGATGTCACAGTTCACATCAGTACAGTTATGTTGTCTTCTTCAGATAATATACATTCTGTACCTAAAATAATTGAGGGGAGATTAACATTGTCCTACTTTGAAATTTTTTTTCTTAGATCTACAAGCTTGATTGTTCACTCATTTACGAGTGACAATTTTTTGATTGGCTATTCGTTTTAGTGAAATAAAACAATAAATCTCCATAGACCAGGTACTTATCGCCATTTATTTTATTATATGATTGTGCATGCCCTCGTCACATATTACAGGTTCCTAAAAGATCATAAATTAGTCAAAATACCTGATTTTTTCACTCTGGATCCTGTCTTCTCAGTCACCATTTAACATACTTCAGATCATAATTGCAGACAAAAATGGGGAATCACACGAATCAATTTGATCTTCAGATTCCATAACATGATGCATGAGGACATATTTGTTCTCCATAGAAAAATCTCTGTGGTTGTTGTCACTGACAATGAGCATTCCCAACTAGACACGCCCCTCATGGCTCATGTAGCACACATACATGTGGGATCTCCTCAGATTAAACATCACACATCTGAAATAATCTTACTGCATTATCTTCTTGTTTGAATAATTATTTAACTAATTAATAGTTTTATGCTTTTTTCTAGTTGTTCCCTAAGGCAAACGTATCCCACATTAAGTTGAAACAGAAATTATAGAGTATGTTTTGTGTGTTCAAATCATTTTACTGTATATGCCTTTCTGTTCATTTCAGATAAATAAAAAAATCACAACATCTATCAAACCAAATATACATGTACAGTATCTCTATTCTATACCATGGTTCTAGGAATTAGTTACTTAAGTTGATCATGTAATACCAGATTTCTAATAGGAATTAATAAAATTCCAAGACATCTGCTGGAATGCTTATCTTAAATATAATATTTACATATTGGAAAATTGTCACTGTACAAACACTGAATACTTTTAAAAATCTATCATCTTATCAAGCGCCTACTCGACGCGAAACAGACAAACCGATCCGGCCGCAAATCGGGTCACACGATAATAGATATACGTACCTATACATCATTTAAATGTAATACTTATAGGTGATGTAATTATGCGCTGTTCATAAGGCGCCGTTCATAATATGTATGGTGTTTCGGTGTCTCCGCAACTAGTGTTCCGTCTTGCTCATGGCATGATACTCCATGCCGGGTCGTTAAGGGCACAATAAATACTCGAAACATGACTAGACCCGTTAGTTCTGTTCTTATATTACCGTGCCATAAGTATTTCAGAAGTGCAGCAATATTGTTTCAATATAATTTATGGAACCACATGTTCTATCAATTCTGGTCAGTAAAGTGCAGTGTACAAGCTTTGTACTAAGTATATTGTTTTGAAGTCAATATGTAAATAAATGAAATATAAATTGAAGTGTTTTTTCTATGCAATCCCACCAATGTGTTTGACATTTTATTCTTCATAAACATAAGAAAGTGAACCCCAAATCAATTGATCTTTGATCAGATTTCTAGACTATTTAAAAGTAAACATCCAATATTGTCTAAACAATTGACTCGATTTCCTATATTTATTTGATATCATGATAGAGTATGAATGTCTATATATACAATAAAGCAAAACAATGTACAAAATATGTAAATCTGATATAATCATGATGTAAGTGTGATTTAACTCTAGATATCCAAAATTCATGACTTCAACTTTGTCGATGGCTGATAAAGTGTTTATATGAAGTATTTTGATGTTATGTACACTGTGAGACTCAATAACTAAAAGTTCATTTAAAAATTGTTGCACGAAAACACGCAAACAATATAAGTTCGCCAGTCTTTAGAATGGAATGAAAGGTGGCGCTCCCGTGATCCGTATTCAATGTTGTTTCTACGCTCTGCTGTTGCACGTCACGCTAGCCGATCTCCGATCACTGCGAATAAAAGAACATATATAACATCAATCGCTATAAGAATTCATTGGCACAGACATGTCAATTACACGGAAATTAACAATCATAAATCATCCATCAAGTACAGTACAGTACATTATTGCTATAATGTTTCTCTTCAAACTAAATCTTTTAAGGAAAATATTTCGATGTTCAGGACTCAAAAGATTCCACCAACACAGTGTTGCATTCTTTTCCTGTTGTATTTCATAACAATCACATTTTGCTATCTTTCAACATAAACCAATCCAAGAATTAAAGTTTGTTGTTGATATGGGTTAAACACACTAAAATGAGAGAATCTATCGAATTATCAGCCTTGATGTCCACAAAGTTATGCAACTGATTCAACACATTTAGCACTGAAATCATATTTAACAAATAATTGAAAAGTGGGATTCTACAATCCGTATCAACAATTTTATAGGCCAGTTGGATAAATACCTCAGATTCGGATAGTATACATTTCAACCATGAACAAAAAGGTAAATGTGTTTAATTTGAATTCATCAATCTCAGTGATTATCCTTGGAAACTATTGTAAAATTATGTGATGAAAAATAATGAACATTTCATCTCACCTGTGACTTATTCATAAGGGTCCTCATAGGGATCTCTGGAAAACAGTAAATCAATGTATAACGTGTAGTGCTTTTACAGAATGAAGGTAATTGATCACTAAATTTGAAATTTTATCACATATTTGAGGCAATTAGGCAAGGTGTAGGAAATACAATTGAACATATCTTCTTCATCTGACATGACAGCCAGACATTCCTAAGAATGGCCACCATACTACTTATTTTTTCAAGTTGTATCAAAACATGTATTAATACACATATTAAAAACCAACAGTTTTCAAAAAGCTGCCTTGTTGGGCAAATCAACTTTTATCTAGCTTCATGTGAAATTTAAAAAAATCAAAAGGGTACTTTTAGAGTTTAAAAGACATCAGAGTTATAGAATGTCAAATCATATAAATATCCCAACCATATGTTGGACTTAATAAACAGCATAAATCATTATTTCCAGTAAATCTATACTTTTTAATTATAATTTTAAGTTCTGACAAATATGTAAAATTTGCAATTAAATTTTAGAAATACGTTAGGGTTATAATGTTAAGGAAATATGAACAATATCATCCCAACAGATTCTAGTTATTATCCAGATAGTAATAAAATCTTGTTTCATATTTGAGCGAGTGTGTGAGTAATATGGCTTGATTTAATGGTTTGGCTGGAAACCTGTAGACAAGCCTTTAAAAAAAGATTTTAGGATGGAAAATCCAAAATGGTCATATAAAAACAACAGTTTTCAAAATGCTGCCTTGTTGGGCAAATCAACTTTCAACTAGCTTCATATAAAATTAAAAAAACTGTACTTTTAGAGTCTAAAAGACATCAGAGTTATAGAATGTTAAACAAATCATATAAATATCCCAACCATATCTTGGACTTAATAAACAGCATAAATCATAATTTCCAGTAAATCTATACTTTTTAATTATAATTTTAAGTTCTGACAAAAAAAGTAAAATTGACAATTAAATTTCAGAAGTACATTGGGGTTATAATGTTAAGGAAATATGAACAATATCGAGCCAACAGATTTGAGTTATTACCCAGATGGACAGATGTATGGGTAATATGCAATTTACCTAATGAAAAGGACAAACTTAAAGTATTAATCATTAATACCTTGGAGCTGGTCTCTTCTTGGCATAATATTCAGGTGGTGGTCTACCCAATGGGTCTGCAGCTGCTGCTGCCCTTGCTGCCCTTACAGCAGCTATCCTGGCACGTCGAGCATAAGGGTCAGCATATGGAGCGTATCTGTAAATAAAAAACAGATTTTTTGTCAAACATAGACATAAGACATAAGAGCATAATATTGTTGAAAAGCTTAAACGCTTGATTGAACAATAAAAATAATTTCCTTTGACTTTAACATTCAAAGACTTATTTTTTCAAAACTTGATCAATTTCTGACATATTTTGGGTTTGTAACTCATGTGCTTTGTACTTTCTCATAAGCTAGTAAGTAACAATATTACAATTAAATTTAAACCAAATAATTCTTGGTTATGATACCTTGGTCTTGGTGGTGCAGCATAAGGATCTGCATAGGGATCAGCATATGGATCCTCGCCATATGGATCCTCTGCGTAAGGATCCTCTGCATAAGGATCAGCGTAGGGATCTGCATAAGGATCATATCTTGGTGCCCTCCTTGGAGGGGGAGGTGGAAATCCTCTACCCCTTGGTGGTCCTCTACCCCTTAATCCACCCTCTCCGCGACCTCTGCCTCCTCCTCTGCCCCCTCTCTCCATTCGCCTAATAGACAATAATACATAAGTTAAAATTAAGTATAAGATGAAATATCATGATTCACTTCAGAAAATTGCCTCAATGATGAATACTATCAAATCAGAAACTTAAGATGGATAGATGTCAGATATGTTGTCTAATATATATATACAGTTGGATATGGATAGCTATATTGTTACAACATCCCACATTTCAGTCATAAATTCAATTTAATCAAGTCCACCGACCACCATGTTATATCTCGTATATATAAATTGTGACACGAAAAAACCCTAAAACCTGACCTGAACACAACTATGATTGACCCAACTCTAATATTAATTCTAATATAATATTTGACATCAAATAATGGTCAAATATTGCGCCATAAATCTTAGAATTTAGGTCTTTATTCCTCACGTAAGATGTACATGTACCTACTCATTGCTTAAATGACAGATCTTGACACGACAAAGAATGGAGGGAGGGGATTACTTAGTTCACTTGAGTGAATAGTTATCATTTGCCTGTTTGATAGATAAACTTAAAATGTTGGACCTCCCTAAATCCCTGGATAAGAGCAATAATTAGTCCAGCCTTTGTTAGGGAGACATTTCAAACAACATAATGAAGAAATATACTGAGACATCTAGTATTTCCTGAGCTATACAGCAATTAATAATTATAAAAAATGTATTTTTTTCAATTCTTTACATCATCTAAATGCTTTGATGCATCTTTGGGGTGGACCTCTAACTATTATTTAAAGGCCCACTATACTTAATTTAGAAGAAAAAGAAAAAAAATCATTGAAACATATTACTCACACACTCGCTCAAATATGAAACAAAGTTTGATTTGCTTGAATATTTAACCAAAAAAAAAAAACTCACATAGAAAAAAGCATTTTAAGTTCAGAGATTAGACATACATGCAAATGCTAAACAAAGTGCATGTTTTTAATTACTTTTGATTTAAAAGATGGCGTCACTTCTACAAAAATGAATGTATCATGTTATACAAACAACTTTGCCATCTTTTAATGATGTTTATAAAAACTTGAAAGATTGAAAATATTTTTTTGATTATAAATCGTAAGCTCTGATGTGGTCCGTTTGTGCTGTTGTTGGGAGTCAAATGAAAGATGGGATTCTTATCAATACATTGGAAATTCTATAGAATTCAACTAAAAGTCTTTATTTTGCCCAAAAACATTGAATATACACGAAGTGGGCCTTTAAGTGAATTATGCAAAAGATTCTTACGCCTTTGACGGACATTCATTTGCCCAATGTCCAGTTCCACCGCAAACATAACATCCTTCCTTGTCTCCCATTCCTGCTTTCTGGCGGACTGTGCTGTTACTCACCTATATGAAAGTCATAAAACAGGCATTAAAAATAAAGGTTGCTTAAAAGGTCCATATATATGAACATTTATTTTCAAAATCTTACAAGTTTTAAGGAAGAAGAGACATTAAATGAGCTAAAAAGTATAGCATGATGGCCAATAATGGACTCATATTTTCAATTACTAGTATCTTTCAGTCTGAAGTTCAAAGTTCATTTGAATTTATTGCTCAATCTGGGATCTCAGTGTAGTTGAAATGTTCATTATTCCTACTGGACAATCTGTCTATGTGCTTACCTCTACCCTGATTGTGTTATTCTGAAACATGGACAATCTGTCTATGTGCTTACCTCTACCCTGATTGTGTTATTCTGAAACATGGGCAATCTGTCTATGTGCTTACCTCTACCCTGATTGTGTTATTCTGAAACATGGACAATCTGTCTATGTGCTTACCTCTACCCTGATTGTATTATTCTGAAACATGGACAATCTGTCTATGTGCTTACCTCTACCCTGATTGTGTTATTGTGAAACATGGACAATCTGACTATGTGCTTACCTCTACCCTGATTGTGTTATTCTGAAACATGGACAATCTGTCTATGTGCTTACCTCTACCCTGATTGTGTTATTCTGAAACATGGACAATCTGACTATGTGCTTATTCTACCCTGATTGTGTTATTCTGAAACATGGACAATCTGTCTATGTGCTTACCTCTACCCTGATTGTGTTATTCTGAAACATGGACGATCTGTCTATGTGCTTACCTCTACCCTGATTGTGTTATTCTGAAACATGGACAATCTGTCTATGTGCTTACCTCTACCCTGATTGTGTTATTCTGAAACATGGACAATCTGACTATGTGCTTACCTCTACCCTGATTGTGTTATTCTGAAACATGGACAATCTGTCTATGTGCTTACCTCTACCCTGATTGTGTTATTCTGAAACATGGACAATCTGTCTATGTGCTTACCTCTACCCTGATTGTGTTATTCTGAAACATGGATTTGTTCAATGCTGCTGCTGCAGTCTTAGCCTCCTCTGATGATGAAAAGTGCTGCAATCAAACAAAAATTGGCTGCAATTTTGAAATTAGACATACCAGTGTAATCGTGCTATGAATGAAAAATTTTCGAGACAGATCCATCTGATAACTAAACAACAGAGATTGCCTCTATCTGATATATTTTTAATAGCCAGGAATTGTATTAAACCATTTCCTCGTCTTATTATATTAAATGCAGAGTTTTTAAGAAAAATAAACATTTATTATAATACTCAATATTTTCAAAATTGTTCTTATCTTCTTTATTTTCAATTTCCACAAAGCAAAGCAAAAAATATTAAATCAAGGTGTATGGCTCCTGCTCTCTTATAATTCCACCATCGTGATTCTTTACTAAATGCAAACCAGAACAACGGCAACGCCAAAGCGTAGCGAATCCCATCGAACAGAAATGGCTGGCATTTTTACAAACGAATAGCAAATATCATAAAACAACACACCAGAAAGGCCACCATTTTCAAAATGGTTGCTCACTAGCAAAGTTCTCATCAGAAGAAATAATATGCTTTTAAGTAGCCACCTCTAAAATTTTTGAAAAATCGCACACGTACTTGTAAAATAACACACACATAAAAATGTTGGCCATTTTTCAAAATGGCCGATTACTCCCCAAAGTTTTATTAGACAATGTGCCATGCTTAAAGTATTCACATATCAAATATGAACAAAATCGCTCCACTACTTTTCGTGGTTATAGTAAAATACGTTAAAATGGTGGCCATTTTTCAAAATGGTCACCTTCTACCAAAAGTGTCATTAGAAATAGACAGTGTGCCATGCTTATAGTATTCACATACCAAATAGCTCCACTACTTTTCTAGTTATAGTAAAATATAGTGGTGTCAATTAACCGCTTGAGCATTAACCGGTTAACCGGGGGTTTTTACCGGTTAAAGTCGGTTAACCGGCGGGAAATTTGAACTGATAATTTCAAATGAAATCTTCATCTTCGATCTTGAAAGTTGAAAAAAATTGGAAAAATGATATATCTGCGTTTATTTTTACGTTCGTCAAGCTTTACTCTATTCTATGTAAGTAAGCGCGGGAAAGCAATGTGGCAGGGATTAAAGTTGCTGATTGGATATTTGTAAGGAATTATCGGACCTATCACATGTATGAGTAGCTCACATGAAACTGACGCTTGAAAAACAAACAGATTAAAATGCAAAGTAAGCGCGGGAAAGCAATCTGACAGGGATTAAAGTTGCTGATTGGATGTTTGTAAGGAGTTATGGGACTTATGACATGTATGAGTTGCTTACGTGAAACTGACACCATAAAACCAAACGCATTAGCATGCAAAATAAGCGCGGGAAATAACAGAATTATACACGGTCAACTAACCGCCCATAAAAACACAGACCGGTCAAGGCATTATCGGCGGTTAACCGGTTAATACTTGACACCTCTAGTAAAATACGTTAAAATGGTGGCCATTTTTCAATTTTTTTTTCAAAATGGCCGCCTTCTACCAAAAGTGTCATAGGACAGTGTGCCATGCTTATAGTATTCACATACCAAATATGAACAAAATCGCTCCACCACTTTTCTAGTTATAGTAAAATACGTTAAAATGGTGGCCATTTTTCAATTTTTTTTTCAAAATGGCTGCCTTCTACCAAAAGTGTCATAGGACACTGTGCCATGCTTATAGTATTCACATACCAAATATGAACAAAATCGCTCCACTACTTTTCGAGTTATAGTAACATACGTTAAAATGGCAGCCATTTTTCAATTTTTTTTTCAAAATGGCCGCCTTCTACCAAAAGTGTCATAAGACAGTGTGCTATGCTTATAGTATTCACATACCAAATATGAACAAAATCGCTCAACTACTTTTTGAGGTATAGTAAAATACGTTAAAATGAAGGCCATTTTTTTTTCAAAATGGCTGCCTTCTACCAAAAGTGTCATAGGACACTGTGCCATGCTTATAGTATTCACATACCAAATATGAACAAAATCGCTCCACTACTTTTCGAGTTATAGTAAAATACGTTAAAATGACGGCCATTTTTCAAAATGGCCGCCTTCTACCAAAAGTGTCTTTAGACAGTGTGCAATGCTTATAGTATTCACATACCAAATGTGAACAAAATCGCTCCACTATTTTTTGAGCTACAGCAAAAATCGTAAAATGACGCGTAAAGGCCGCCATTTTTCAAGATGGCTGCCATGTGCTTCTTTAACATCTACATTTGTAGCATTATTATTGTCCTTTATCATTTTTTTACATTTAAAACATATTGCTATAACAGTTTTACATATTGCACCTAAATTACTGTAAAATCGGCACTAAAATGGCAGCCATTTTCAAATGAGCGGCCATTTTGAGAATCGGCTTTCAAGCAGAACTTCTACCCCCATAGGGTATATGTGTACAAAATATGAACAAAATCAGACCAACGGTATTGGAGTTATTGCCCGGACGGACAGACGTACGTACGTACGTACGGACGGAGGCGTTCCCTATATCCCTCCGAACTTCGTTCGATGGGATAATAAAAAGTAATTGTCCACGCACTCACCACAAATGCATAGTTCTTTACGACATCACACTCCACAACTTTGCCAAAGTTTTCAAATAAAACTCGCAAGTCTCTGCTTTCACATCCTTCAGGGACATTCCCTACAAATAATTTAGTGGTGGCCATCTGAAAAAACAAAAGTATGTGTTCAGTAAATCTAGTGGCTTCCTATTTTGAGTTCATGTTCTTTTCAGGAAACACAACTAATTCTATATATGGGCATTACCTTTCAGGTTTTGTTCAAAAAATGTCCAAAAATGCAGAATGTTTTGTCGCTTCCTGTTTTGTAATTTCCTTAAAGGTGCAACAATTAGTGCGGCGGGGTCATTCAACGATCATGGACCAGTGTCAAAATATTTCATTGAAGTTTGGATATTTCATCAAGACCAACATATATTTTTTATTATCTCCAAAGAAACCCCCTGGATGAACATCATTTCAGCTGATATCCCTCTTGAAATGTGTTGGATCTTCAAAATCTATAAGTGGGACTCCCTTTATAGAAACTTTGACCTGAATTTACACTGCTTAATGCTGAAATTTATAGTTTATCCATACATTTTAAGAAAATAGGTATGTCAAAGAAGATGTTAAGCCAAATCTTGCCCTGATTTTCGAATTTTTTATCTCTAAGCCTTGATGCCCCTTTAATTACCATGTTAAGTTCCATGGCACCTTAATGATTGACATCGTATTCCTGTCAATGAAGAGATGTAGAAAGGTCAAAAGAAAGAATACATGAATTTCAACCTCAAAATTTCATCCATATGCTAAGGGGAAGTATTAGTAGTAACCCCCATGAAAGTGGAGGTGTTTTTCCTTTTTCTTATTTTTGACATTTAGTGATAGCAAACCTCCCCAAACAAATGTTAGCTATTCAATTTCTTGTAGTTGGACAAAATGGTGGACAATTTCAAGACCTAGATATAAATGCTGAAAAAAAGCAAATATGAAGCATTGTTTTCAGTAATCAATCTCTTATTACATTGGTAAAAGTGTTTTGTCAAAGAAAACAAGAGAAAAGGTTTAGGAAAACTGCGGACATAGTCCTGATTTTCATCTTCAATTCATCAAGGTATCCAACTAAAGTGGGGTGCAAAAATAAATCTCAACCCTCGAAAGTTGTCACAATGAGCTAAATTCTAAGTTTCGTGTCTCAAACTCTCCCAAGCGGTAGAAAAAAAAAAAAATATTTTCTGAACTGAAAAGATGAACATTCAATCGCTGCAAATTCAGTTTTGGAATCTGACCAGACGTTGAATCTCCCCAGGGGCGAAGCGGCGGATTCCGGAGGAGTATTCATGGTATATTTATGCCCAGTCGTGTTTATGTACGTAAAAAATTCATGAGAACATTTGTTTCATGAGCCAGGCCAGTGTATCTTCTCTTTGTGAAAATTTTATCCAGATTCATTCAGTAGTTATTGAGATATTAATTATTTAGTCCAGGCATATCATTTTTTGCACTCTTTGAAAAATAAGTCAGTCCCGTGGGATATATTTGCTGAAATAAGTCAGCATGCTAAAGGTTAAGTAGCACAATAAATGAATCCGAATGATACCTGCAAATGATGGATAAATCCCTACCAAATCGAACGAATGTTTTCATGAATCGTCATGTTTGTGATCCAAGGAAGATTGACTCCCAGAATGCAACATCAGGTAACCTTATTTACTCGTGACAGATTTCAAAATGGCGGAACAGCATTTTGAAAGCTGACACGTGTCATGTTGCATTCTGGGAGCCAATCCACATTGCCGCGTAATCCAGCTCCAAAATCACCTCAACATTTGAAGAGTCGGCATTAACATGTGAATTCTACTTCAAATTTTTAAGTTCTTATTTGTCATTATGGACACGAATTCCACTATATCTGGACTTACTAGGACTGAGAAAATAGAGCACTGACTGCTGAATACACTGAGGTAAGAATTTATTACATGTGTGACAGCATGTGATTTCCATAGCTTTTGTAATTCTTTATTCTTTATGGTGAGCACTGTACACAGTTTGGAATAGGTTTCAGCTGTAGGTGAGGTTTGCCTTATTAAAGTCATAAAAAAGCAAGCCGAACCCACATTTGGGTTTAAGTATTGGGGGAGATCCGTCGAACTTCGACGTATGTGGCTACCTAGACCATGCTATTTCGACATTGGCTAATATTTCCAATTCACATAGACCACAATGATTGTTTTTTGGAAATTTTAAAAATAAATTGAAATCTCAAACTGCAAGGAGGATTGGCTCCCAGAATCGAAGTCGATATTTTCCAACAATGAAAACGCCGAAATGTCGTTATTTTCTGAAATTATAACCGATTATAAATTCAAAATAAACAGTTCAAAATATTCGAACCAATATCTCGATCATTTCTTGTGAGTTTTGGAATTTTTCGTTGGGATATAAGACCAAAATTCACGATTCAAATGTTGAAGTGAACAAAATGGCGGTCGTTGGAATTCAAATTTTGTAGCACGACATGCCCATATATGGGGCAGAATATCGATGTTGCACTCTGGGAGCCAATCCTCCTTGCTCAAACTGCCAAGATATAAATCCAAGATGGCTGACCCTGGAAATATGAGTTATCAGCAATGGTCGAAATTTACTCACTTCGAGAGCCATGTTAGATTTTGAAACTTATGCCAAATAGCTTTCGCAGGAAGTAAGTCGAAATAACTCCATGTCGAAGTACAGTGTAGCCTCATGACGAAGTAACCCCAAACATCGAAGTTCGACGCATTTCCCCAAGTAAACAAATTCATGAAAGAGCTTCGATATTGATCTATGATTTCTTCCTTCAACTAAATGTGATCGTTGATTCATGATGATGATTGAGAATCGCAGATCGTTCGTCGTAACGCGATTTTTTAAAAACTGAAGAAAATCATTATGATACCAAAGCTTTTACTTCTCTATAGATGAAAATAATGGAACATGAAACATTAACGTTGCATCGAAACTTAAAGTACATTAAATACAAATATATCGATTGAAACGTGCACAGAAAACAAAGAACTTACATTTGGATCAAAGATGGCGACGAAGAATGTCACGTGATTCACACCAAACGAAAATGTTAAAAAACACAGAGTTCTGGAAACCCGGGAATAATTCTAATCGCGTCAGTCAGGGCGTAGCCACACATATGGCAGAATTTTTCCTAAGAAATACATAAATAAATACTCATTGGTATTAATTTATGTATTTCCTAGGAAAAATTTTGATATCTTTGCGTAGCCAGGGGAGGGGGTGCGATGGGTGACCCCCCCAAAAAAGAAAAAAGTGCGAAATATAAATTGAGCCTAAACAAATCCAGATTCAACAGTGTCAAGATATAGAGAAAATATTCTAGCATAGTAAGATAATACATTATACAGTTAGCAAGTGTAACACAGGCCTTGAGTTTATTGATATTCTCCCTTTACACCGGGCATGAATCTGACTGAGTTATTTACATTCTGTGTTTAGGTTACCTAACTCACGCCCGGTGATCGTGCAAAATGGATGGTGAGGGGGGATAAGGCGATTTCTGCAAGAAAACTCAACACTTTTGGAAGATTTATTTTTTCAAGAAAAAATTTACAACTGAATTGCCAAATGAATAGGCGCAGTGCATGGCAAAATATGTTAGGTATTCTAGTATTTTTTTGAACTGATAAGACCTACACTTCTAAGATATGAGATCTATTAAAAAAGGCGCATCATCACCAACGTGCAAAAGTCAATGTTTTTGCTATAAATGGTCTACAATGGTCTACACGACCTGTAATAAATAATGTAGGGTATAAGGGACGTTATTATCACAATACTAATGACATTGCTCACTTTTTACAAGATTGTGAGACATACAAAGGGGGTGTGGTAAATGGAATTTTTTCCTTTCCAAGACTTGAAATGTTATCAACGATTCTTTTTTTTAAACAAAAACGGAACACATGAATTCGAAATTATAATACTTTGGGCCCCATGTAAAGTTTAAGAACCACTTTGACTTATATTGTAGTTTCACCCAATGTTATCAAAATGTCACAGTGATACGTGAAATATTTTTTATTTCAAAAGTGGTTTTGAAGGACCTTTTGCTTGGAAAATAGTGAATTTATTTAAACTAAATTTCGAGGCCTCACATGTCTTTTATTAAGTGATAATTCACACCAATGCATACATCCCCACGTATTTCTGTCGAAGAAAATAAGGATTATCACTGATTATTGGTTGATAAATAAGCGATAAATGAACCCATCCATGAATTGTATAGCGGTTCAGAGAAATATGTATTTCAAAATTTTAGTTCCCGATAGAAACTAATGCCGGTGAAGTATATATTTAAAACATACGATAGTCTTTTAAACCTAGTTAGACAATCTACATTGATTTATCTTGAAAGCTTAGCATATTTAGGAAAAATGGCAATATGGCTTTTTTTCAAACAATGTTTGTACCCTAAGTGATGTCACTCATAAATAACTTTCAAAGTCATGAACAACAGTAAACGAATGATAAAAACATATTTTCAAACCTTGCATGGGCCTTTTAAAATGTTTCAACAGTATTAAGACTATCCAAAGAGTTTCTTACAAATCTTCCTATTAAACATTAAAATTAATGTGTAATATTGGGTTTTTAGAAAAACATCTTTCGAAGTAAGTGACGTCGGCGCCGTTTTTTCAATAACTTTGTACATTGTATTGGTATTAAGCTTAGAACAAAATGGCTTCCATTAAGTTCCGAATGGAAGAATTGCTATTGTATGGATTGACTTGTTTCAAGAAGATTTTCAAGGAAAAAATAAAGTTTGTGAAATTCTTGATATTTCTCTAGAAGATTTCATATGCTGCGTTTCCTTCCCGGCCTCAATTAAACGTCTATACCCATAAGCAACTTAAGTTAAATCAGATATGAAGTAAAAATAAATTGGCGAAATGGTATGGTATGGTATGGAATATCTTGATTCATCATTCGGCTCTTGAAAAAATAAGAAGTTCCTACTCCAAGCACCTTAGGATGCTTAACTAGGGTACATGGACCAGGATTGTGAAGAGTCGTGACAGTTAAAGGTGGATATGTGGGGAAGGGGAATGTTCTCTGAAACTGTCTCAGTGGTCTAAAGGTGTCGCGACTTTTAGTTTGGAGACTGCTCAAAGATTTACCATTTGCATTCGTTCAACTGCAGGTATAGTTTATAACTAGAGTCTGCGCGCAGGGTGACGGTATCAACGATTCGGAGTTGATTTTTGACTCACGGCTTCTAGATGATGAAGATTTATTTTTTCGGAGTTAATCCTGTGATTTTTATATTGGTAAAAGAATTTGAGTATGCCATACAAGTTCATGTCATGTCTAGTTCATTGTGAGAACTAAGATGGAAAATTAGATTATTGAACTCTCGTTGCTTACTTTAAGAGTGTTAACATCAGTGGCTATTCTAGAAGAGCTTTTGCGAATTTCTCTATGATGAAGAGTTGAGAATAATAAAACCTCTTGGCTTACTAGTATTCTCCTCTTGGTATGTTGTCATTTGCACTTGGTTTTATAGAACTGAATGGTCTGTGTGGATGTTTTATTCTGTTAGTGGATATGTATGTATATTCTTTCTGATTATACTTTATCAATCTCACTAAACACTGGAGAATTTCAAGTTGAACTCTTAAATCTTATGAAGTGCTGAGTTTATAAGGATATAAGAAGTGGAGCAGTTCTAGTCGATAAAACATGATGGGGTTCCCTTTGCCTTGGCAATTTTTACACATTCCTAAGGATAAAGTGATGTCACGTTAAGTCATCCTCATCTTTACAGATTTATTATCAGTTCCTAATAACTTATTCATTTACCAATCGATTGTCACCATGATAAACAATGATATCTCATTTCTCCTCAGTCTTGAGCTGTTTCTATTGAAGCAGAAAGATGTGATCGAGTGTATATCTACACAAGTTACAACTGACACGATTGGATACTTTTTCTGCGGTTTAGAAACATAAGACTTTTCAAGTATCTATTATTTTGAGGATTCACTTAGCCTGCCTTTCACTAAAACGTTTCCAAATAGAAAGATAATCCGAGCACCTGAAGTACGCAAGCAAATGGAAAAAGTTGTTCCGTAGAGTGAAAAATTAAATCATCGCTTATGTTAGGATTAGTACTGTAATACAATCAATCAATTAAGATGCCCGACACACATAATGGACACATATTGGTAATGACACTCCTTGTGGTAATGTTGATGATTACTGGATGTGCTTGTGATGGAAGTGCCGGAGCAAGCGCTACACCACATTCTCATTTAGGTAAATGTATAAGACTTCTTATAAGGTTAACCACGTCCATGTTAACTAGCCCAACAATTTTTGCCAGAGATCGAGAAACTGATAGAAAAGCCCAAGCCCAAATAATATATCGAATCGAATCGCAATCAGATACGTATTCAATATGGGGGGGGGGGTTAAATTCTCCCAAATAATGAAAAGGGTAACGATATTATAAAAAGAATAATACGTTTTACTGAAATAAAGTATGCTCATTGGAGTATATTATAGACATGACAAGGAATGATAAGAGTCAAAAATATTCTAAAACAAGAACAATTTTTGTTTAGCTTGTTCGCTAAATCTGATTCTCCCTTTTAATTTGGCTTTCAACTAAGTTTCTTTAAAATATTCTTTTTCAGGGAGAACTGGGTGTTGGGAATCGAATATGGGACACGCATGGTTGGAAGGTACAGGGTGTACGTGGTGCCATTGTCTCGCCCGGGGCCGCATCGTCTGCTACGAGGCGAAAAAATGGTACGATGGCTGTAACTGGTGTGCCTGCGTCAATGGTTCACCTAACTGCACAAAACTGCCTTGTTACTTCGGAGTACGACGACGTCGAGGGATCCATAAGGAACTTCAAGGGTTACTCCATTGATCGAAACAGTCTTGTAACATTAAATAACTTTTTATATACCTGAATTATCTATGTGAGCAGCCAGTGGGCCGTATATCTGGACTCGAGGAACCATCTTTCTTCAGTTCGTCAGTATATTGCAAGCTCTCAACCTTCGACCCTCTCATTCTTCGACCAGTCTCAAAATGTTATATTGAGCAAGATGGGACTTACATAAACAATACGAAGGGACACGATATGTTCAATCTAGGATGATGGTCCTAGGTTCAATGTGTAATGTGCATACCATAAAATTCCATTTAGAGTTTTCTTTATCGTGGGTGGCAAAACTGAAATGCTATTCACAAAAACATAGATATCATGTACCCATTTTGAGGATTTGTTTTCGAAACATTTCTCAGGAACATTGATAGTGTCAATCAACATGTCAAACAATCTAAGTCTGTATACTTGTAAATTAGGCAAAATGTGCAAAAACATTCGTAATCTCGTATGAAGTGTAGTCTACACTGGTTAGTTTTTAGATATGTTATAAAACTGTTTTTGGTAACCTAATTCATCGTACACGCCTATAAACACCATACATATCATCAGTATCAACCAAGTAAACTCTTATCAATCGAACTCTTCTATTTTTGTTGAAGATCTTTTAGACATAACATTTTTTACATCAAAGTCTATGGCAGATTAAAAAATTAGACCGAAAAACTTAAGCGTTCACTCTGCGAGGTGGATATACAGGTTGATGGTACTCATTCAAAAACAGGTTTTAGTGGCAGGTTAATGATTTATAAGGTTTGGTATAATATACAATGACAATGTATACAGCGGATTATGTTGAAATAGAATGTATATTCCAAAAGCAGGAGATACATGGTTCATAAAACAAGATACATAATATGTTTATTTCCTTTATCTCCTACATTTATTGTACTACTTCTTATAGCTACACATAGGAAGCTGTTAGTGATAAAAACTGGAGAGTACATAAAATATACAAATATCAATCGAATTTAGTTAATATTGCATTACTAGTCTCAGAGTCTTTAGACGTAAAAATACCAATTCAATGTCCTAGTCAAACAATTACCTGCAAAAACAAACAAGGCATTGACATGCAAAATGTCACCACCTACCATTTGTTACAGACACT